AAGAATCCTAATCATAACGATGAACCCTCAAACCAACCGGGGACAGACAGTACATCGTAGGCAAGCACAGCGGGCCAAAAAAAAAAAAACAAGTGCAGCGAGCTCAGCCGACGACGTCAGACCGCGGCAAGCCCTCAGCCCCCATCCCAGCCCCACCCACTCGTATTGCGCCACGACCGCGGGCGCTCCCACCTGCGGGGGACAGCTGTGATGGAGCCGCAGGCGGCGTGCAGGGCTCACTAAGGGCCCGCGCGCGGCTCGCCATGGCCGCAGGGCGCGGCGACGGGCCGCACACTGACCAGCCCGTCGTCGAGATCGATGCTCACCTGTGCCCCGTCGACCGCCGACGGGGGGCGGTCGCGCCGCCACTGAGATGCGCGCCAGGTTGGGCAGACTGCGACCGGCGCTGGCCGGAGCGCGACTCGGCCGTCGAGGGGGGCGGCCCGAGGGCTCCACGAGAAGCACCATCGCGACAGGAGAGCAGGTCACCGAGAGAGCTCAGCTCCAGGTGATTCTGGTGCTCCAAACGCTGATCACAGCTCACTGTATCGTCTGGCGGTATCACCACAGCTCCCAGAGGCAGCAGCAGCAGCACAGTCCGTTTGCACGGTCCCTGCAAGTCCGACTGCCGGCGTGGCGGTACGCCAGGTGCACTATCTCCACAGACCGTGCTCTGACGGACGGGCGGAGCGCCGGGCGGCGTCAAGGCCGCCCACTGAGTCACCGGGCCACGGCACGGGCTGCAGGCCGCCCGTTCCGCCAGTCTGCTGTCCCCCACGGCCGCCCAGCCCTGCGCTACGCTCGCCACGCCGCGGCCGCCGCCGGAGCTCTGCGCCGCGCGCCGCGTGTGAGCCGCGCCGTTACCGCCGCCGCGGGGTGGCGCTGCACGCGGCACGCGCCGGCTTTCGCCCGTCGACAGGTGGCTGCCAGACCGGTCACCGGTCACTGGACCAATCACTGGTCACTGGTGGTCATGGAGCCCAGCCGGTCACCGTCAGCCAGCGAAAGGGATCACAGCCGCGGGCTACGGTCACCCAACCCATACAGCCACTGCCGCGGGTCGGACTGCCCAGCCGACCCTGCCCAATGCTAATTGGATCAGAGGAGGGTTTAGACGTCGGCCAACTGACGAGACCGTCAACAGCGTGCGCTCAAGGCCACTTTTTTAGAGCTGCAATAATCATCGAACCAAAGAGTAGGTACTAGGTATAGGTACTGTTCCAATACCGGAAACCAATTCAGTAAAATGCAGACTTTGCGCCCAACCAGCAGCAATGAGACCTCAGACAGTCGACAACAATCGCAGACGACGCTCGCAATACCAATGCTGACATACCACCGCACGCCACACGCCCACCCGTCTACAAAGCAGCGCAATCGGGACCACCCACCGCCTTTCCAGTCTAGCCGCGGCGTGTTACACAACAGAAGCAGCCCAATTAGTCCAGAGCCGTCACCGACGCTGCCGTCTCCGCATCGTCTGCTGTTCCGACCCCGCTCCGCCGACAATGTTACACTGTTACAGGCACGCCACACCCCAGGATGTCACCGCCGCCGGGTCACCGGGAGCATGGGAGACTGTGATGTCACAGGGTTATTGATAGCATGTGACGTCGTCGGTCACATGGGTGTGACGTAATGCGACGTTGCAGCGGCCGCGAGCGACATGGGGCAGAATGCTGCGCCCCAGGCGGAGAGGTGCGCACGCAGTGGACTCGAGTTCACATGAACGTTGGACAAATGGGGGCCGCCGGCAACATTCTCTCGCTGCAGAGCTGAGGTAATTCGGCGCCGAACGCCCTGCTATTGGCACACAATGGCCGCGGGAATGAGGGCTTTCGATTGGATGGAGCCACTCAATGGGAACATAATCCATGCTCCATATATGGCTGAGTGCCAAAGATGTCTTCGACGATTTGTTCCATATTTGTCGATTTCGAAAGGTTCTAGGCAGAGTGTCAAATGTCAATGAAGCCATTCTGAGCATCCTTGAAGTGTATTGATGAGCGGACCGATAACCCTTCATGGTCGAGCCCTCTACCGACCATATCACCGTCGGGGCGACCGACAGTCTGCAGTGCAGATTGAGTTTCCGCTGCTGCAAACTGCTGACGTTTGACCGGTGATCGCTGACTATCGGTCACTGACCTCTAGGCTCCGTATTTACGGCGCTGACTGCTGACAGTTACAGCGCTGACCACCACACTCCCAGTTACTGACCGTCTCAGTGCTGAGTGTGACCCCTGTAGTCCAACGCTGAGCTATTGAAGTCAGCGCTGACCTCATCACTGCCGCTTAACTTACTATGCTAGCTGCTGACAGTCACAGCGCTGACTGCTCACCACCAGACCACTGACCTCTACAAATCTACACCCCCATTTGAACCCACTGCTGATCGGTCAGCGATTACCACACCACGGCCCACAGTCCAGTACCCCTCCACACTGAGCTCCGTTGCTCCCACTGCAGCCCTACACCTCCGGGGACAGCACCAGCTGCAGTGCGATCGCCGGTCTGAGGTCTGACTCAGACCGGCCGCCGAAACTGACACCACAGCGGGAGGTGACGACGGAGCTCTGCTAAACGATGACCAGGCGTCGGATGACGGGTTGACGGACTTTCCGATGAGCTACACAGCAAAGAAGCTTTCACTCATGGCAAATTTCGAGCTAAGGCGGGTTTACACCTTAGCTTAGTGCAATAAATAGCAATGCTTGTCACACACAACAAGTTTTTTTTCACTGTTATAACACCGTCATGCTGGTGCCATGATGTCATGGATAAATAAAAGACATCAACATTCAACAGTGATCCTATATATTCTATCTGATAACCTGATAGCACGGTATCTTCACAATCACCAGCACAGCCCTTTCCAATCACTCAGCCAGGAAACCTTTTACTAGCGGGGGGCCGACCCTCAGGTGAGCCGCCACCATTGACAGCTGATCCCCCTTCCCTCCCCGCCAAGCACCTGGGGCGGGAGAGGCACCCGGTCTATGGATCGAACTCCCTCCCCCAGTCGACCATGTGGGCCCACATCCGGTGCAGCCCAACACCTGGCCCAGCGCACAGCTGGGTCCAACGGCGCTAAAAGCACGGCCGTGGGGGTGTTTTAGAGTCGGGACCGGGCGGCGTAGCCACGCCGAGGTAGGCTCGTTTCTGGCGTCTTACGACTGTCCACGTCCAGTGTCCAGAGCCCAGTCCAGCAATAATCAGCCCGGCACAGGCAAGGCCAGAATCTATCCGAGTCGCCACAGCACGTCGGTACAGCTGAGCGCGGTAGATAGCGGCGAACTGACGCGCCGAAGCGGAAGGGACTGGGGACGGGAGGGGGGACGTGCAGCGGGTGGTCGGCGGTGGCCGTTGGAGCTTCCGGTGACAGCGGCGGCGGCGGCCAAGACACAGCGGTGGATAACCGCGCAACACCGTCAGACAGCCGTCGGTATATAGGGCCTTGCAGCCGTCCTTATCAAGACTGAGCTGCCTCCGTCCCTGCACAGCCACATCCTCGCCTCAAAACAATACGTCGCGCGGCTGTCGCCACCTCTATCAGTTCCACTAGTAGCGTCACCGCCACCGTCAGGGTCGCCCCAGATCCGCCACACATGAGGCCGAATGACTCACAGCTTCGAGGACACTCACATTGACACAGACAGACAGGCGGGCAGGCCCGGCGGCGGGACTGGCCCTCGTATCGGCACGCTTCGCCCGCTGTCAACGGAACGTCGCCAGAACTGGCAAACGAACCGGACCGGACCGCAGCGGACAGGAGTGAACAGGAGGAAGACTGCGCATCAGACGGACCGCCCGTGGCACGTAGTCGGTCTGTGACACCGGTAAATGTTGCACGAATATCAGCGACGCTGCATGGGCTCGACTGTCACGAGGATACCACAAGCGGGGCGGCGAATCGCGGGCGAAAACAGGCTGCTCAGCACAAAAGGCGCATTGGTATGGCTTCGAGATGTCTTGCATGACTACACTGCAAGAGCACCCATGTTTACCCTTCGAACGAGGATTGTCTAAACAAAGATTGCCAGTTGGCAGTTGACGGCATCGAAGTCCAGAGACGCCAGAGACCAATCAACGGCACAGTCACTTGTCTAAAGAACAAAGGATGAAACACAACAATGCGCTTATAAATATTCCACCCTTCAAATGCCTTTCACCTTTGTGTTTGGATGAGTGCCGCCGCTCCATTCACATACCTTTCTGCTTTGCTGACGACGCAGCGGCTCGCTCAGAACCGTTGACGTGGAAAAACATACCGTCCGTCACTCAGTCCCACACTGCATCGCACGCACTACTCACACTACGCACCAAACAGCGGCGACAGTCTCACGCAGTGCCGCCCGGCCGCGCCGCACGCTCTACTATCGCACAGTGGCGCCCCTCGCCTGATTACCGCACACTCAAATTATCCCTGCACACATCCGGCCGAGCTCAGCGCCGCATAGCGGCCGCGGTTCGAACCATAGTTTTAGCTCAGCACCGATAGATGGTGCCGCGCGCAGTGACCTTCGCGGCCAGCACCTGCCGTTTACAGCAGAAAACAGGGCACGCGTGTCCGAAACAAACAGAGCCCCGCGTGTGTTTACCGACGGATAGAGGGAGCGAGGAAATGGAGCGAGCTCGAACCAGGACGGCGCCGAGGGTGGGGAAGCGAGGAGCAGGAGGGGAGCTCAGCTCACACCTAAACCACAGACTGCGCTGTTACGGAAAGCAACAGCGGGAGGAGGACTTGTGCAATTCCTTAGAGGCAAAAATGCTAAATCACTCCCATTGCCACCATCCAAACACAAAACACCACATAAAAAAGGAGGCTGACAGCAAAAGTCAGGTCATTGGTCTCATTCTGCTAGTGAATTCCACTACGAGAAACCACCCATAGCAGTTACCGCAGACAGCCGACGGACCCAGAACAGATACGAAACGGACACCCCAGCCGCATCTCGGCGCCGTTCCGCTCCACCGAGCGCGGCGGGCCGGGGACTGACCTTTCGTCCTGGTTTGGTTGGTCTGCGGCACAGGCCGGTCGGGTTCCTTCTCCCACCAGGGTTTGATAGCAGCCACCGAGGGTAGAGAGTCGGTGGCCGCCGTGCACGGCCGGTCGTCTGAGGGATGAGCGGCGGCGGTCACACACTGGATAGACTGAGCTCGGGGAGCACCGCAGCGAGCACCACAGAGCACTGCCGAGCATCACAGGACACCACAAAACACCGATAATCACCACAGAGCACCGTAGAGTACCAGCGAACACCGCAGAAAACACCACCACAGGACACTACTTAAAACCAATCACGTCGGGAACCATATCACACCGTAACATATTGCACCCACACGTCCGAGAGAGACCCACGGTCCTACACACACCTAGCCACCGCACAAGTCCCACGAGAGTCGGAACGGAACGCACGGAGCGTCGACCAAGCTGCCGGGTCAAACACACCAGTGTGGCAGCTACACTGGGCCCCGATATACAGAGATAGATCGGGCCACTGCCAAGGACGCCCCACGCCACGGCCAATGGCAACAGGTCTGACAGTGTGCCAGCGAGTGTGGCCAAATCATAGACCGGCCGAAATAGGGCCAGGGGGTGGACGAAACTGGCAGAGTCAGCATGGTCGGGGAGGGATGTTTTGACATCGCAGCATGGCCCGCTTAACCTGATAGTGTGTGATCAGGAGCGTAATAAATTGGGTTATTAGACGATAAATTTAGATGAGAAGTTGGTCGATTATGTTTCTAGTAAATAAGGTAACCGTTTTATCCAGTTAATATCCTGAAGGGTGTCAAAGAAAACGCATGTTTTATGGACATGCCATGAATTAGGAAACTGACACCAAACAGGAGGGGCGTTTTCTTTTCATATTCGAGGGAGGGGCACAGCACATGGGAGGACTTCTGTCATATTCGAGGGAGGGTCTACATGAGAAGAGTTTGCCTGACATATTCGACGAGGGAAAGCACCTATGTCGGTAAGGTAGGGACTGCGATGTGTCTGCGGAGTTGGAAGTCTTACAGAGCGGAGGCAGCCGCTGCGGCGTGGCCGGCTGTCTCCGGCGGCGCCAGACGCAGATCGACAGCATCACGGCACAGAGGAGTGAGGTCACGGCAGCAGAGAGCACCTCCGGCAGCACGTCGAAACTCAGCGCCATCGGGTGGAACACGAAACTTCGCGGGAGACGTCGATCACAGTATCAAACCGCATGGTTTCAAGAGAGTCTCGATGTTAAGTTTCATTTTGTCGCGCAGAATCTCACTCTGATCGTAATTCCGCAGTTCGTTAAATGTCATTGACAGATAAGGGTTACATTATGGCATACTCCATTGGTTACATTAAATATGATTTCTAGGAGACGTCAAAATAAATATGAAAAATGATATGAAAATTATGCCAATACCGATGGGAGATTCGCCATATTTGAAAGGCCAAGGAAGAAGGAGGACGAAGAGAACGTTTCACAACACTGGTGATTGCAAGGCCATATATAGTGGTGATTGGCAAGGCCGAGGCCGTATAAGTTTGATTGGGTGATCAAACACACACTTGAAAAACGTCCTCGAATATTGCGGTGAATACCCGACAGAGAACGCGGAATGTCTGGATGGCTCCTCCGACAAACAGGGAATGTAACGGATCGGTAATTTAGGGCGACGTAAAATCTCAATGCGGTCATGTCAGATGCCTTTGTTAGACCGTTATGTTACGGACGAGACCGCTTAAACGAATGACCTCTATTGCCGTTTTTAATCAGAAGATCGAGAAGCTGATGAGACAATCGACATTCGGCTGAATAGACTGACCGGCCGAAGCACATCGACGAGTAGGGAATCGAGGGATAATATTGGCATGGCAACTCAAGATAATTCTAAAAATAACAACTCAAAACAATACCATTACCATTTTTTCTTAGTTTTAATCGACGAAGTTTCGTCATCAATGAGCTGTAATGATATAAACAAAGATTTCCTGAATAAAAGTGGTTTCTTTTTGCAGATTATTGTCATTGTCGAGTGTCCACCGATGACAGAGGTTGAATGATGAGCTAAAAGGCCCGATCGCTATCTATATCAGAAATCTCGCAATGAGTTGAGCCCTGTTCATAAATCACTCGGCCTTGTAACGTCATAGGCTAAACAATGAGCTGGTCGTTAAGCCCACCCACCATCGGGCGTTAAACATAACTGGTTGACAAAGACAGATAAGACAGATACATGATAACGAAACCAAACCGGGAAACACTTAGTCACACCTCATACATGAACGTGACGGTGAAAACTAGGGTTTGTCTAGATGCTGTCTCTCGCGATTCTGATAGGTAACTTGTCAATTAGCATACAACAAATACATTAGTCATATTCGTGTAAGCCATTTAACACTTCTAAACACGCACTGATTTTTCCCTAGTTCATAAGTCATAACTACTTAACCATGCCCAACTCACCGTATTTCTGGCAGGGCGGCCGGCTGTCGCCGTCGGTCCGGTCCCCCGCCGGCTGCCGGGGCTCGGAGCTGCCTCTGAGCGGCTCCCCAGCTGCCGCAGCTGCCGACAGCTGCTCGGTGGGCAGCAGCGGCTGCGACAGCCGCCGGCTCTGCGCGGGCCGCTCGTCGTAGGCGGCGTAGGACAGCCGCCGGGTAGGATCCCGAGCCGGCGGGGGTGCCGCCGCGACGGCCGGCCGCTCGTCATAGAGCTGAGAGAGAGACACCCGTCTGCCCTCCGCCGCCGCTGGCGCTGCCGGCCGCTCCTCTACCGCCTGACGAGAGTCGGACGCCGCCTCAGCCTGCGCCTGTGACGCGCGCCTGGCTTCAGGAGCAGGCGGGGAGCGTCTTTCCTCTAACGCCTGAGAGTGACGCCGGGAGTCTGTTTCCACAGGCCGATCGTCATAGACTCCTGACAACCGCCGCGGGTCTTGGGTGGACACACATGGTCGCTCGTCATACGCAGCCTGCGACAGGCGACGAGGATCCGCCACAGGCGACGGTGACTTGTCATCCAGAGCCTGCGAGAGACGCCGAGGGTCGGGCGCTGACACACACGGTCGCTCGTCGTAAGCAGCCTGGGATAGACGCCGCGAGTCGACCGGCTTGTCCACGGGACTCTCGTCAGGCGCCTGTGAGAGGCGACGCTGATCGACAGAAACAGCGGGTCGATCATCATACGCCTGAGAAAGGCGGCGTGGGTCAGGCACAGATGCAGCGGGCCGGTCGTCATAAGCTTGTGAGAGCCGGCGCTGGTCGGGCGCAGGCGCCGCAGGCCGGTCATCATACGCCTGTGAAAGGCGGCGTGGGTCGGGTGCAGACGCGACTGGCCGATCGTCATATGCTTGTGAGAGCCGGCGTGGGTCGGGCGCAGACGCAACAGGCCGGTCGTCGTACGCCTGAGACAGCCGCCTTGAGTCGCCGGTTTGAGCTGAGGGTGAGGGAGAGGCAGCCGCAGTGGAGGCGGCCGGCCAGCTCTCCCGCTGTTGCGCCGCCTCTCTGGGGCTCTCCGCCCCTCTCTCCCGCTCCTGCTCGGTCCTCTGTCCGCCGCCTACCGAAGGCCGTCGTTCTGACGCGGGCGGGGGAGGCGCGGTGCCCTCCAGAGAACGCGAGCCACTCCTGCTGGCCTCGGCAGCTGCCTGCGCGGCCAGGTACTCCTGTGTCAACGAACGGCGCTTCTCCGGCTGCCGTCCACCGCCCTGCCGCATCACCACCTGCGCCGGCGGCGGCGGGGTCACCGCGGCAGGCGCCGGGGCGGGGGAGGGAGTGGGGATAGGGGCGGGGGCGGCCTCGGGCGGAACTCCGTCCACCAGAGAGTCTTCAGAGAAGTTTGAGGCGGAACGTCGCAGCGGTGGTGGGTCGCGAGAGCAGGCAGCTGAGTCTCCGTACCCTCCGTGACCTGGATGACCCGGATGACCTCCGTGACCTTGGTGACCCGGATGACCTCCATGACCTGGATGACCTCCATGATTTGGGTGACCTCCGTGACTGGTCATACTCAGTCCGTCGTCATCATCGGCCGGGTGGTAGGAGGGGCTGCCGCCGGGGTGACTCCTGCCGAGTGTATGCGGATGGCAAGTGCACACCAGGCCCTGCCAGTCACAGAAAAGGCAGCGGTCAGTCCAGGTCACATCACAGCCATGCAGACACATTTTACAGGTCGAAGACACACAGAATATCGGTCACACATCCACACTAAAGTCACAGACACCGGTCAACGGTCACAGAGACACGCGGACCGGTCAAACAGCCCACCGGAGTCACCGACACATGTCACCGGTCAGTAGGGACGTAACGGTCACACTGGCACAGAGCACAGGTCTATGCGGCCTACCAAATGGGCCGGCGGTTAGTAACTGAATCCGGTGGCCGAAACAGGAGCGATACCATGGCGTTTAGTGACGCCTAGCGGCAATACGCTGACACCACACAGGCATTACACTAACAGGAACAAACACATTCCCTAAATTGCTGACGATTACAAGAACATGTCCCATTAAGAGTAAGAGAGAGCCGGAGATTAGTTAATGACGGGTGGTGCATAAGTACAAGTTAATTAGGCCGCTCTGTGATAACAAAACTGGTCCAAGTTCCGAGCGTTGATCAGGGGGCGCCCTGCGGCGACTTTAAAGCCGCGTGTAACACATTGTTTGATAGCCGTTTCATCCGAAGTCACAACACAGCCATCATGTGTATCCAGCTCGACTGCGGGGAGCATCACGGGCACAAAGATCGCCCTTCATTTCCATTCAGCGAGAGACGGAGTGATTTCGGAACTGACGGAGATCCATCACCGTTCGATCACGGCGGGGGTGTGACGCGTGGGCCGGTCGGGAGAGCGAGAGAAGAGGGCAGAACGCGACTGACGAAACACTGCGCGCGACACCCTGTGGGCGGGGCCAGTGTCAGACGCGGATCGCGACGCCCCGCCCACCGGTTACCACACCTCATTAACAAGTCGCTACGGGGTGCCGCCATACGAGGGAAAACGCACCGTCCGTGCAGGTGGTCATGGTTTCTCTCTGAGCGTTTAGGGCCGCTTCTGGCGTGGTGAGTTCGCTGAGCAGCTGAGGGCGAATTCGGTGGTTTGATTTGACTCAGGTGGTCCCGACTAACCACAGGTGTCACGGGAGGGTTAAATGGCGACCGCATGACTCAAAACAGACGAACAGAGACCACGAGTCAGCATGAGTCGAGTCGTGCCGAGCTGGAGCTCGTAATGGCATCCGTGTTGTTTAAAATGTCGGGCAATCGTTACACGATACCTGCCTGTCACGGTTGCTTCTGGCGTTACAGCTCCAGCATCCAGACATTCTGCAGCACTTATGGGCAACGTGTCGGTACAATGTGCATAATGCATGCATATGATCACGCCACAATGCCGTGCGCAGGCGGGAATGCAGACAGTTCTGCCCACAACTCCACAGCTCTACCGACCGATTCAGGCGACTGTCATTCACCGTGTGATAAAGGCGCCCATGTCACAGTGCGGAGCATACATACGTGAGCCTATGCACTTGATTCAAGCTGCTAGTCCGGCTTTAGAGCGGTCACCCTGGCTAGGGGCAAGTCAAGGACTGTGACTTAAGCTTAGTAAGCAAGCCATTATTTATAACCTTTCTAGCATAAATACCGCATCCCAAACAACATACAAAAAAGGTCTATCACTCAGCCTAACCCAACAGTTTCACGCGAGCATTCCTCTTTGCGACGCGTGAGTCAATCATCTCTCCCGTCTAGCTGATTGAGCCGTCAGTCAGGGGCAACAAAAAGCCACCGGTCACAGTGGGGAGAGTCAACTACCGAGCCGACCGAGCCGGTAATAAAGGCGCTACTTTTAAATACTACAGCCCGCTGTAGAGACCAAGTCCAGGCGCAGCGTACTGGATGGAACATGGCACAGAGCAGGTCTAAACAAAAGACCAAACAGAAAAGAGAACACGAGACGGAATAAATGCATGAAAGGTAAGATAGAACAGGACAGCGCATGGCAGGACTGGACAGGATAGTTTGCATTGGGGCAAGAGAGAATAGAAGAAAAGGTCATATGTCCTAGGACCAGACAGGGTAAGGCAGGACAAGCCACGACATATATATGTTACAGGCAATGTGTGGAATCAAGCATTCTATAGAATGCCTAGGGATTCTATAGAATGCCTGGTGGGTCAGGCATTCTATAGAATACCTAGGGATTCTATTGAATGCCTGGTCGGTCAGGCATTCTTTAGAATGCCTGATTCCACACATTGCCTGTAACATATACACGGCACACCAGTTCAGGACAGGACATGGTATACCATGTCCCTGTACAGGGCAACGCAGGACAACAGCTGCGAGACGCTCTGACCAGACTGGGATCAGCCGGCCCTGACCGAGCGACGCTGATCAGTTTTTGTCTCAGCTGAGTGACCTCCACGCGCGCAGAGCTGTCGACCTCGGAGCTTCGCGGTATCCCCGGGGTCAGAAAGTGGACAACAAAGGTAGGTGGACATTGCCCAGAGGTCGTTGGTGACTGGTCAGATCACAAGTCGGTCGGTGATCAGTGGTCTTGTTCACTGGTCTTTGGTCATCAGTTGGTGGCCGTTGGTCATTCGTCAGTGGTCGGGGGTGTGGTCGGCCGCGGTGGAATGCCGGAGAGCAGAGATAGTATCGCCGGCCCTGACCGAGCCGCACAAAGTCACCGGCCCGTATCCGTCTCCCCTTCAGACATCAGACGTCAGACGTCAGGTATCAGCCGCCAGACCTCACAAGTCAGTTGTTAGCCGTTAGCCGTCATACCTCGGGCACCAACCATCAGACGCCAGTCATCAGCCAGCTGTCATTCGTAGACGCCAGTCGTCAGCATTCAACCGTAAACATTTGCAGCTTTAAAGTCAGCATCAAGCCGCTTACCACCACACATCAAGCTAGCACCTGTCTGTCCTATCACAACAGGGGACCACGCCTTCAGGGACAGGCCATTACAGGGGGCCTCGCCTTACACCAACAGTCCCCGCCTACCAGCGTGTCATATGGTGGGCCACGCCCAGCCGCTACACTGCATTCCACAGCACACTAGCCGTGACCTCTCCGCACACCCTCACACTGAACAGCGGAGGTCACCGTCAGTTCGAGCATACCTAACGCCAGGCAGTCAGGAATACCTCAAGAGTAGCAGATGTATGGGCGCTGAGAGAAAATTTTCGAAGGCACATCTCGATTTGTGTCGATTGTAGGTAAGCGTCTAAACTCATCGAGCAAAATAAGTCGATTACCATTGAGACCCAAACAAATGGAATGACTAGCCTTCGAGCAGTTGACGAAGCGCACATAAAGCAGCCACAGATGACACGACCTTGTCCATAACCATGCCAGACGCTGTTTTTATTACAGAGACGAGCCCAGCTGTGGTGGCAGGCGTCCCTGTCGGGCGCCAGTGTGACGGTGCTGTACCGGATCCAGCCGTCCCCACCCCCGCCCACAGCCGCCGCCCACCGCTGGCATCCAGGGTCGCACCTGTTCGAGCCTCACTAACGACGAGCTTCACACTGGGAGCGGCTCCAGAGTGACCCTGACTCGCGACTCCTACACACACTGCGTCGCAGCCGCAGCGCAAGCTACCGTATGACGTCACTGGAGGAATATGTGTGTGCGTATGACGTCACTGGTGACACCGCCCGAGTGCCTTTCTCTCAGCGCGGCGGGAAGGCGCGGAGCGTTCGCTGATTACATGCGGCAGCGGCGGTGACGGAGGCGCGCGTTGCGTCACAGAGGAGGTCGTCACGTCCGCTCGACCCAAGAATGGCGCGCGCCACGCTCACGCCTCTCTCACGGCTGGCTCGCCGGTCCTCCCGCCGCTCTCACGCCTCCTTCCAACGGTTATGTTCGTGACCCCGCACATGGCGAAGGGCGGGTGACGGTACGCTCATTGCTGTGGGCGGCCACAGTGGGTGGCGAGCATCACTCAAGGTGGCTGTGATTTATCTTTCAAGGATGTCCCCCATCAAAGCGCAATATCTCTTCATCGCGGCTGGCCTAAAAATATGACGGTATCGGTTGGCAATAACCTCTGATCACTAGGTACCATTACTCAGTGACTAGCTGCGAACCGTTGACGAGCCGTGTTTACAAAACGGAGATACTGAACTGAGCGGTGCGGTGTTGGTTTAGTGAAGTAGTAATCCACAACCTCTGTCAGTATCTCAGGCTGATCAGTGCGAGAGGCGATAAGCCGAACTGATAAATCGGAAAAACAGCCGGGCGGAAGTAGAGATCACAACACCGACGACGGGTGCGGAGACTTTGGACACCGGGGCGGTTTAGAGACGGAGCACAGCGATAAATCGACTTTGGACCGTCCCTCCGCTATCGTTATTAACATGCTATATTTTGGTCAAGAAACGCTAGGGTTTGCGCCGTGACTGCACAAAGTCCACAACTGAGTTTACGTGTCAACGGAACACTGGCTCTGGAGATAAACACGAGGAAAAGATCACCGTCTCGAAGTCGACCGTAATTACCGAAAGAACCAATCGTATCAGCACACGGCATTCTCCCAGAAGTCACATTTAAGCATGGCAGTGACGCCGTATGCACCCATGACGAGCGTGTAACGTCACACCTTTGGCGACTTTCACCTTTACACCCACACGCACTGAGTGACACTATGGGCGCGACACGGGTGACGCAGGCAGCCTGACACTAGCCAAGCATCACCGACCCGTTGCGCGCTGTCCAAGTTCCAGCTCTCCATGAATTTCACATCAAGAGACCATGGACACCAGACAGGACAGACAGGACAGTTGTCATACCGCCGACCGTGCGAACGTCGACCCGTCACGGTCGCCGATCGGTTTGATCGCATATTTACCACCCATATGTGCGCGATCACCGATGATTTGCTGTACCACCCAGTCGCCCGGTAACAATCAATCAGTCCAGCCCAGCGGGTGAGTGGAGACTAATAGCTCCGATCAGCGCCGGTCATCGGCTGCACCCGGTCCTAGCGGCGACGGGGGTCCGTCCGTCTCCCCTTACTCAGAGCCGGCCCATGAGGACATTGTCGGCTAGAATATCGCCGATTCATACTGTGACGAAACTGCCGGGAAATGATCGAACTTGGTCCTTGGTGGATCGAAACTAGACCATCTGGAGTCGCCGTGAATGACTCTGAGGCGGGACCGACAAATGAGTGGAAAATGAGACCATGATACCTAATCACCGGAAACGGTGGAAATTGAAACCTACTCAATGAGGTGAAGGAATGTTCCCGCATTTGTAAAAGAATAATTGAGATATGATCAGACCCAATCAACCAATCTCAAAATCAAAGTAACTGCATATGTTTCAAAACTGCAGTGTTCGCAATAGGCATTATTGAGCCTCGCACATCCACTGCCACCATTCGTCCCTGCTAGTACCGTGGCACCAATGGTTGGCGAGTGTCCGCCTCCAGTTGGCTGCGCGCCGTGTCCCATCCATCAGTGTCTCTCCACCGCTGGTGACACTGGGACACGGGACGGTGGACACTGGCCAACAGCGAGAGACCGCGCGGGAAAGGGCGGAAACAGTGTGCGGTGACAGGGATTGACAAAGAAAGTGGTTGGGACTGTGGACAGTGACAGAGGACAGAGGACAGAGGACAGGGACAGAAACCGTAATGGGAGTCACAGACAGAAACAGTGACAGAAACGGCGGACCGTGGCAGCAGGAACTGACAGCTAGGAGGACCGGCCACCGTCGGCTGACACAGTTTCTGCAGCTTCCGGACTCCGATGACACGGGACCATGACTGATGTCTCGTCAATCCGCGATCCGACACCATTTCTGACAGCCGACCGACCCGGCATGAGATCAAGTTACCTCCCCCTCCTCCTCTCCCCAGTCGCAGAGTGCACGCTGTCACGTCACACACGTACTGACATTGACGCCGATACTCATACGGTCACAATTAGTCTCCATAACTCTGGTTTATGTGACAAAGAGGTTACAGGGGAAACTGGGCTGTCAGCTGTGAGGCGGTATAGTGTCACACCAGAGGCAAAGGGCCATGCTGATACGATAGGCGCTAGGCCTACAAAACGGCACATGACAAAAACGAAGCACACAGCGCAATCCACCAAATCACGTCCTATTCTATTCATTATCACACACGATTGTCAGACCGATGTCTCAAGTTTCATCGTCACCGTTTTGTCTGAATGGGATCGTGTTCTGTCGTTGAGATACCGGCCCCGACGACCGAGTCTGGCACACTCCGGTGCGGTGCCGTCACGGTCGGCTGAACAGGCCAGATTTGGTCACGACGCCAGGTCAAAGGCCGATACCAGGGACACCGAGGTCACTGGAGGGTGTACGCAGGGCTCACGCCTCGCCAAAACCGCGACGCCAAAACGAATAGATATGGAGAGACAAGTGGAATTTGAAAATATGGGACGTCAAATATATGACGCACGGTACGTAGGATGGCATGAAGACAACTCACAAGGAGAGAACATAGCTTGTCCATCATTCTGACGTCCATAAGGTCATCTGTCCATAAAGGTGGTAACTGGTAAGCACAGTGAGCATTCTTTTATCAATAGCACCGGCCGTCTAGACTAGAGGTGGCAAAATGTGGACCCGGGGACCCGGTCTATGGAACCGGTCTGGACCCGGATGGGTCCAGACCGGGTCCCCCAAAATATTTGGCCGGGTCCAACCGGGTCCTATCATTTCCCTGTGCTTTATGGTAAATATTAATATCTTTTATGCTTTGGCAAACATAGTCATAGTTGGTGCAGTTTCCAGTTCATAAGTCCCAATTCCACTTTTGAATTTTAATATTCCTGCAGATTGGGCTACCTATTCTATAGCATACTTGTACTGGTCAGTCTTGCTTCAATTTCTTATCTTGTCACCTACAACAGAATAAACAAGTTCTAAATGCTAGGAATCCAGAAAACATTTCACCAAATGTTTGTACAGATCACTTCCATTTAGTTTGCTGTACAAAACCTAGCAATATTTTGAGCTGTAGGAATCAAATACCAATAACATATGTAGGTAAGTAGGTATGACTGAAATCCATTTATAAATGGACACAAATCCAATTGAAGCAAGGCTGACCAGTGGCATTCTCACCTGCCTTTTCAAAGACATTGACATACCAAAGTCACTATGCCCACCGGAAATCAGAGTTCATGTTTGATATTCAAATGCATTTCATAACTCAAACAGCTTTGAAATTATTCCTATCACGGCCAGAAGACAACTCATAAACCAACATGCCCTTGCATCAATCCATGAAGCTAAAAATGAATCCAAGGCATTCTCCAGAAACCGTAGTATTGATCAGATTTCTAGCCAACTGGCGCCGCATGATGGCGCTAGCAGAGCGTATTATACATATAGCGCTCTACTAGCGCCATCATACGGCAGCAGCTGGCAAAAAACTGAGTCAATACCAATGCCCTTCTCCAAGGCTAATGATTCCGTGTTGATGTGAAAATGGCGCATTTGAGCGTCATATATGCTATGCCTTACGCACGCTAATCTACTGCATAAAGGTTACAATTTTGGAACACGTTCGGGAAGAAATCAGGTAAGTCTCAGAACCCTTGGTATTTATTCTATATCTAAATACTAACAACAAAATTTAGTTTGTTTTCTGCGTTAATAAATTAGCACTTAAGTCATGATCGCAACTTTGCAGTACTTAAAAGTTTATTGCCATTTGCCATTACGATTTTGCAGTACTTTAACCCCAACAAAATTTTGCAGTGATTTAACGCCTGTTTTGTCCTTGCATTGCTATCGTGTCGACATTTCTGGCGGACCCCACAAAGTTTTGATGTTTCTATTTTGATTTTGAATGTTTTCTCGTTTGGGGGGCTTGGATAGTTGATAATATTTGTAAGGACTAATGAATTTAATTCTAAAAACGAATATCTTTTACCAAGAATATTAGAAAAGGTATGTATCAGTATGGTTATCTTGTTCCATTAGGTTCTGGCTCTGGTGAAGGCACTGCTCCATGGATCCCCAGTTCACATCATTTTTAGCAGCTGTAGTAAAAAAAAGTGGCTTAGGTTAGCATGAAATTCATTGGTCTACTTACTTAGGTGTTGTTTTTATCCGCTGGGACTGAGAGCGTGAGATGATGTTTTTCGCTGGAGTACGAAAAACATAATCTCATTGGTCTACTTACTTCTTATATTCTTAAATATGACCTGAATCTGGTTCTAAAATACAAACTGTGAAGCGAAGTGAAATGACCATGGCATGAGTTTTTTACTTTGCAACACAAGTGTGCCCAATTGGAAAGAAACTATTTTCTTCTTGCTATACTTACAACTGTGCACAATTTTCATAATGAATTTCCGGAACGGGTCCATCTGGTTCCAACGCTGACTTAGACCGGGTCTGACCGGTTCCAGAAATGTGCCAGTCAGACCGGGTCCGGGTCCGGGTCCCAAAATTTTCCAGTTTTGCCACCTCTAGTCTAGACTCTCACCAACTACGAAAGCTACCCTACGAGACTCGCTTTCTGCTCTCCGACCCCACCCAATCTCACCTGTTCCTGCAACTGCCGTCCATCCTGATGAACTCCTCCTCCCTCCGAGTAGTACCCTCTCTCCGCCCCGACCGGCGGCGGCGGGGGCGGCGGGTACTTGTCGGCGGGGTACGTCAGGTACCCGTACGGCGCAGAGTACGGCGGCGGGTACGCCATGGCGGCGGGGTACGACGGATACGGGGGCGCCGCCGAGTACGGCGGTGGCGGGTACGGCGGCAGCGGTGAGCACGTGCCCGGGTACGGCCGGCAGTACATGTACCGCGCCGGGTCCGAGTCGTACCCGGCTGGTGGCGGCTCCGGCGGTACCTGGAGAGGAAGAGAGGGCGTCAGCATGGGCGTGAGTTCCACGGGGCGCATGGTCAATGGGGAAGGAGGAATGACGGCTAGAGAGTTAAGGTTGTGCCAACTACCCCAGAATCTTATCACAAACAGGACTCCTTACAAAGTGTGCATCCTCGACACCTTCCATTACGAGGAATCGTAAAAAGTTTAGACGGGCATGACCTCACCAGATTGTTCGTGCAAACTTATGACGACGCAAATGCTTAGCCTTGTGCCTAAGCAGAGAGATCAGAAGGCATTCCCCGGTTGAGTCTAACTGCAGACAGTCGGAGAGGAAGCTGATGACACATATAGACATAACACATCACCACTGAGACTGAAAATCCGTAAACGTGTTCTGTTTACAGTAGCGATCTGAGCGGAACGCAGCGACTGCCGATCGGCGTATACAGCTCTATGTTTGGGCGAGTAAAAATGCACAGTTTTCCAAGTTGGCGAAACATCAACGCATTCCTTGTACCCAGTCATCTTATTAGCGCACAGATGACAGAGCATCGTGCTAAAAGAAGTCACAACACGTCCATTCCCTAAAATGTCGTCCAGCAAAAGGTGACCCGCAAGGCCAAGGGAAAGGACACGAATCACCAGAGACCACTGACGGAGCGGATCGAGAGGGCCAGCAGATCGGGGTGGGGCCACGGTCAGACAACTCTCCAGCAGACCCAGTCTAGCTCCATGGCCAAGCGATGGCGCAGCTGAGACGATTGCGACACAGCGCACACCTGTTGGACAGTGTTCTCATTCAGATGGCGGCCGCCCGAGGTAGGAGCCGGCGAGGGCGGGCGCGGCTCGCTACCCACACAGACTCGTGTGTATCCCAGGTCCGTCTGATTAGTACTCGACCTACAAACTTGGCTGGGTCAGGAGGTGGCTTTGACACAGCGAAACTGTGTTTCAGCTCTGATCATCCGAGCCACAGAGCACGAAGCCGGTCGGAGTTGGGTACGAATATGTAATGGTTCGTTTATCAGGCTGAAACGTGTTGCAGCACCTGACCCGGTTGAAGTTCGAGTAAGGAGTAGGCGGCGCCACTCCCCTTCGGCCGGTTGGACGTTTCGTGTCGGGTCCACCCTGGGATGAGTCTGAGTCGGGGCTGCGCACCTGACTCAGACCCGCACGATGTCAGACACCCGGCACTCCCTCCCCTGCCAGCTCCTCATCCCTCTCTCTCCAGGAGTGCACACCTGTTACCTCGGGACTCTCGACAGAGCCCGTCTCTAGGCCTCGCCCATTTATGATGCAACACCACCATCCGCGGCGCCTGCACTAAACGCATACCACCGCGCTCGCCGCAAGCTTGCGAGCCACGCTCCCGCCGGCACTGTACACAATCGCCCACGCATACTGCAGCGTCTCAACAGCCTTTTGCACAGGCACGCTGATGCTTCAATGCGACTCATAAACCTCCAACAGGCGTCCGGCATCCTGCAGCCATCCACCTGCGCGCCGGTGCTGGCACGCCATCCCGAGGGCCTCCGCACGGCCGCGGACCGCTGAGGCTATCAATCGGAATGCCCCGACACGCTCAAAACGCCGAGCACGGCACCCAGCACGGCCCGGTACGGCCGGCCGTAGCGGGCGTGCCGGCCACGTCAGCGGCGCGACGTGCCGCCGTTTCGGTCGACAGGGGAGCAGATGGGGCGGTGAGCTGTCAGATCCTGTGCGACGGGTCGCTCTCAGTGCTCCGCTCACCATCTGCGCTCACCGGTCTGCGGTGGAGGCTGGGACGGATTGCAGAGATCAGACAGGGCGGCCGGTGTCACCGTCACGGACCGATGGCAGTGAGGGTCGTCACCGCGCCGGACGGAGCGCGTACACACCTGATGTCAGCAGACGGACCGTGAAGCAGACGGTGCCGCAGACAGGCTGGCAGTCGGAATTACAAGCGGCTTCAGAGGCTTATAGTTGGGACCGCAATAAGCCTCACAAACTCGCAGACAAGCGTGCAAACGACTTTGTAGCTAGTCTAGAGTGAATCACACGCGCGTAGACGGGCGCACTGATGTTCCTCGAGTTTTAAACTACACTCAGCACTCGCCGGCACTCACAGACACACACTCGGTTCTCAGCTGCGCACACCAGCAGTCACGGTCACCTGCGATGGTCGCAGGTGCCGCGGGTGACCCGCACCGTGCGCCTTCACTCAGCTGACTGGCGCCACCGCGCGGCCGACCCGGCTCTCACGCCAGCGCTGCCGGCGGCGCGGCGGTGGGCGGCGAGCGGCAGCGCGAGCGGTGGCGGCTGACCTTACCGTGCGACCCTGTGGTATTTTACGTAGACAGAATATCCAGCAGTGATTGATATCTATTAGGATGGTTATCTATATAGGATGGTTATATAGGATGATTTTAGGTGAGTGAGAAAAAAAAAACAAGTCATAGGGAATGCTCATCTCAGCTTGGCAGCTTTTGTAAAAGGGTCTCAAGAGTCCCAAAAACGTGTTGGGAGTGTGGCGCTCCTGTTTTATCTCGCTATGTAACAGCGTCCCATGCGATTATTTACCATAGATACCACTGGAAATGATCACATTTGCCATGGTGTATCGTTAATTGTCAGCAGGAATAAACTTCACAGCGCCAGATGTGGTCGGAGACGTGAGCCTCTGACGGGCTAAAATACCAGCTGTTTCTCCTCACATCGCCCACCTGCGATATAAGAGTGTCTTCATAGTCGCTCATGCATATCTGGCTTTGACGCAAATATACGCACCTATCATACCTATAACCTACTTGTATGCTTGAGCGCAGGGAAAAGCAAGACAAAGGGCAAAAAAGCCCAGGCATGTCGTTCGTGTTTTCATTATGCAGCAATTCTGTCTGCCTATGTCTGACTTTGTGACTGGTCTCTCTTCAAGTTTGAATCAGGAGCCGACGTGATAAGCACGAACGCGTCCCCATACCGGCGCGGCGGTCGGCCCAACAGCTCGACGTTCGGCGGAGGCCGGTCTCTCTCCCTCCCGGTACCGGTATGTGTCGGCTCTCTATCGGCTCCTATCGGCGCCGGAAACTCCAGCCGACACACCCGTCAGCGGACCGACACACCCGACAGCGGACCGACACACCCCTCCGGTCCGGATCGGGCCGGGTGGGTCCGTAGTCCGTACCGACTGGGCCGGTATCCCGGCTGGCACCGCACGGCACCGGTCGCTCTAGCAGAGCTGCCGCGCTGCCGCGGTGCAAATCTCCGACACGCCACGCGGAGGCGGCGCTCGGTCTACATTCAAACGCTCAGGCGCACCTGCGTTGATGCTGCGTTTCAATGAAGGGCGTGTATCATGCTGAAGACAGGTGAGGATGAGTTGAAGGTACAGGCTGTCAGGTTAAATGGTGTTTGAACGATACGACCACGGGAATAGTGTGGTTCTTGTCCACAGATGTGCGGTTGCGGTGGCAATGAAGTGCCCATAACTGATGTGCACCATGCAGTGACCATTATTTGCATCACCGCGCGCATGTTTATCTAGTTTAAAGATACGGCAAGAGAAAGGAAACGGGGGGGGGGGGGGGAGCAGGGCGCAGCGACATGGCTCGGGGCATAGTATGGGATATGCCTACACAACACAGAACGGTGCACAGCACGGAGCATGACACATGACCTGCTATGCCACGGCGTGACAAAATACGCCAGCGGGCGCTGCACACTGCACATACGGACCGGAACAGTTGCTGACAACCGCGACTGTAACCCCACCGAGCTGCGGTGGCGAGGTGACGACTCTTACCACCCTCACACGGACACGGCTCGTTCCCGGGCCATTAGGTGCCCACTGGCCGGAGAGGCCGCCGTGGACGGGGTACGGTGTGTCTCCCACGGTCATCAGATGATTAGAGCGACGTCCGTGTGAATGGAAGGAGACCGACAAACCCTCACCCTGCGCCGAGTAAACTAACCCCATCCGCTGCCCCGGGCGCCGCGTCACAATCGGGTTGAGGCAGTCTAAACACTATAGACTCTTGATAAGGTCCAAGACGGTCACAATAATCAGTCTGAAATTTTACTCACAGTAGAGCTTAAGCCTACCAGAGCAATCAGTTTGGTATAGGGACTGCGGATAACAAACAGTTGCCACCTGGCGCAGTGTTTGGTTGGGTATTTGTATTGTGTACCTAAGGCACTAACCAGACCATGCAACGCCGCGTTTCCTTTGTTCAATGTAAGGCAAGCGTGGATGAACGTTGATACAATTCGTAATTGAAAGCGGAAAAGTCTTAGAAGATATGCCTGACATGTGACGACACATAGTAACCGGGCAGCAGTTGGTCCCCTCCCCATGCTCGCATTAATCCACCTGCTTCAATCAGCATTCCAAACACGTCCTGTTCCTGAATCGAGGAACAATGGTGGGCGACCTCTGAGGCATACCTTTACGAAATTAAACCTCCTTCACAGTCTAACACAAAGATACCGATCGAAAGAAATGACTCAAAACACAACCCCGGACGCTTCATGTATCCTGCAGCTGTTGCTGGTTCACCCAAATGGCAAACATCAATGTTGCACGTTTTTCACCAGAAGCTAATGGCGCAAAACAGTGCCCGGAAATGTGACGACGCATACCAAGTCGACGCACCCAGTAGACTCCCCCCTCTCCCCTCCCCCTCCCGTCCCCCCGTCAGTCACCGGAAGTCTGATAGGTGTGCGCGGTGTGGCGTAGGAACGCCGGCTGCGGCCCTCACCTACCGTGACCCCAGCGCGGCACGAACTCTGGACGAAGTTCACCGGTCCGCCGCCAGAGGCGCCACTGTCGGGCTGGACTGGTTAGCGAGCACTGGCGGTACCGGTGCCAGCTGCACCGAGACTCGTTTGCCCCCAGAGAAGAGACTGGCATCGCTTGGCGTCGGTGTGGCTGTCTCTAACCGCTGTCACCCGACGGGGGCGGGGCGGGATGGACGGTATTCAAAGATCGGGATCAGGAATTTGGCCGCCTTTGAGGTCATGCACCGGTGTGTGCAGAGGCGATAATCCAGTAGTCCGCCAGCAGGTCTGCATTAGCATACCTGCAACGGCGACCGCGGCGACAGCACACATCTCTGACCAGACGCTTCCATTTTCACTTGTCCCAGCGCTCCACAGACCCGCCCTGTCGGTCTCAGGACCGCCACAGACCGACAAAGACTTTAGACCAGGCTATCCCCGTCTTTCGCAACGTGAGTCCATTCCTGTCGAGTTGTCGACAGATTATCCAAACCAGAGCCGAAGTCTGGGCAGGCCGGAAACGTGAACGGAATGCATGGCTCCCGAGACGCTGCCAAGTCGCCAATGCTGAATCTGGGGCGGGGCCAGGGGTCGACTCGTCCACCGTCCGCGAGCGAAGTGGGGAAGGGGAGGGGAGGACAGCTCGTGCCAGGGGCGACTTAGTTAGTCACGACTTGGTGACGCAATCTAAAGGCGGCTTCACACCGCGCTGGCACCAGTTCACACCATCTGTTTCAGGATAACAAAGGCACCGGGGACCCCAACTCACGGAGAAGCATTCCGTTTGATACATGACCAAAACGAGAGAACGAGAAAGCACCGAGCCGCCTAGTTTCACTGGGCGAGTTCACGACCTGAGAGCCCGCACCGGTCATCCGAGCGGCGTTCCACAAAAATGGCCTCACGCGCGCCATCGGTAGCCCATCTCGAGCCACAATCGGAGCGCGGTTGGAGCGCGGTTGGTGGGAGAGGGTGGCTGCCGGAGCCGGTCGGCCGCCCACTGACCGGACTCCGGCGGGTCTGGACCGGTCCCTCACCTGAGTTTCCGCTGGAGGAGGCGGTCCACCGGACATCTCCCGGGCGGGTCCTCCCCCGTCCGGGCCGGACATACAGACGGCAGCGGGCCGCCGCCGGCCGCCTGAAACGGGACGGGGCACAGTCAGGTCACAGGTCAGGTCAGTGTCAGGTCAGGTCACAGGACAGGTAGCTGGCAAGTCATTACCACATTAGGCAAGGTCAGGTAAGGTCAGCAACGGGTCGTTCCACTCATTCCCATCAGTGGAACGACCCATCCCATCTCATCCGAACTTAACCTCAGGTTAAGTTCAGGACATGCCATGTCACATGGGCTAAGAGGATTGTCTAACAATAAGAGACCACAGAAAAAGGTCAAAATCAACCCATGTGTGCACTTGTCATTCATTCATAATTAATCAATATAATTGTAGCTGGGAACCAGGAAGTCAGTCACATACCTACGATACAATTTTGCACGCTCGTTCCGACCTGTTGCAAAAGCCCACACACAATCAACCACCGTGGCTACGGTCCGTGCACGGCACAGCACGCCTGTCGATCACCGGCCAGAGCGGAGTGCGGCGCCGACCGTGGCGAGCTCACTTCAGAAACTGACGCAACGTTCGTGGAAGCATTGCACTCGGTCAGCCTTAGCGAGTGCCCGGACAGAAACATGCAAATTATTGAGTTTGCCGAGCCAGGGACTGGCTCACTAAACAGTCGGGGAATGACCTGAAAATCAGTCACCTGTAGGCCTAAGGACTAGAGACCCGACCATTACATTACCAGCTACCCGCTACTTAACCAGTCAGCCCCTCCCTCCACTGACAAACCAGTCCATCTCACTAGCCAGCCCTAGGCTGACACACGAGCCGTGCACCAAGCGGGCCGCGTCAGGACCGGCCGTCGGACTTCACAGAACGGTCCCCAGTGATGAATGGGTCACGGGACGGGAGCTCGAGGGAGCCGGAGCGCCCAGTCATCCACAGCGAACCGCAGCGCTCGCCGCCGCGTCACCGTGCAGTGGGTGCCGAGCTGACTCAGAGCTCTAGGGGATCAGAGAGGCTGGCCAGATTAAAGGTAGTGTGCCACCTTTGAAAGATTTCCCATTTTATTTTTCCTAGGATAAGAAGCTTCTGTTTTTACCTAATATCGCAAAAAAAAATCAAAAATGGGCCTGGAATAGTGCCTTTTTCGCCTAAAAGTTTACCGGTTTTTAGATATGTATAACAACTGTAGTGGGCTCACCTGTACCTAAACAGGCGTCGGCAACAATCGCGAATGCGGCGCACATGTGACAATAAGCAAAGGTCGTTATAGTGTTACGACCATACGACGTACGGGAATGAGTTATCAGCTGTCTAATCGTAGACAACACAATGTCGAGCCTTAAACTGTAAGCCTGTATTGGTATTGTTTCTTTTATTTGGCTGTCGAACATTATTTATGGTTTGAAATATGATTTTATGTAAAATAATTGATATGAAAAAGCCGTCTCATAAGTTATGACCCCATTTCACCACACGCAAGTGGCAGAAATGACAATGATCAGCTGACGTATTTTTCTTGGCCGAAGTCAGAGCGCGCAGCCCGACGCACCACCACCGCACCACAAAGTATGAGCAGAAGCCGCGCCAAAAGCCAGGGCCCCGGTAACGTGAGGTAGCCGAGTCGGGGCAGCGTGCGCTGACCCAAGCCGGGGCCGCAGCTTTGGGCGCGGTCTACCGCATCCCCGCGGGCAGCCCCGGGCTATCACATGACACCGGGAGGACGCGCGGCTCCGGCTTGGGTCACGCACGCTGCCCTGACTCGGCTACCTCACGTTACCGGGGCCCTGGCTTTGGGCGCGGTCTACCGCACCACCTAACAGGCGTGTTCGAAACCGCAGGAGCTGATGATGAACGGGTTTATCGAAACTTGATTGGATGAGCATATCGGTAATAGCGATTTCAGTGTGTGCATTTATTGTTCATAGTGGTGTGAAATGCGGTTGGGGTACGACCGACAACCCGTCGGGGCGAATTTCGCACTGGGGTACTCAAAATTTGAAGAATTTAAGACGTTTCCATGAGTTTTGAAGGTATGGATAAGTTCTAAAAATCCGGTTCTCCTTATCTGGGTCATTAACTCCATACGGTCCAGGAAAGCTGGCACACTACCTTTAAGAATTTAAGAGGGGCCGGCTTCACCGCTAAATCGGGCATCAAGCGCCACCACAGTTACTCGAGCCAAGTCAACATCACGAATCACGGACTAGGCCGGCTCGTCCAAGAAATGTTGGGACTGCCGTCACCGTCACCGGAGCTCAAGAAAGCTAAAAAGAACACCAACCACCTTACCGTCCGCCGTGACACATTGATGGTTGAGTGACGGTATGCAATGATAGTACGTTAGGGCTTCTCATACCGTTCGCTCCTCTGATCTGTTACACAGAGTTGGCTGTTGTTGGCCGTCTGCACCCAAATCGTGTTATCGTTCATATCATGATCGATAACAAGACGGGCCGACGACGAGTGTCTCGATGGTGTTAAGGACTGAAGGTTGTAGTGAGGGGCCGGGGGGTGGGGTCATTTTTCGCAGCCTGTCACTCAATCCCCACTCATCACACCGTCCGTCGTCTCTGAGCGCGCGTCTCGGACTGTTCGACCACGTGGTGTTTGCTTCTTCCCCGGGCCTGTCCCACCACCCTCCCTCCCTCTGTTTACTGCGCGTGCCTTATCTCGGGTCAGCCTCCTCCCCTCTGCCTCGGGTCGTGTTTCCCCTCTCCTCTTCCACAGACACACGTCTCTACCGTCTTCGCGCCCCCCCCCCCCTGCCCCTCCCCTCCTTCCTCGTGCCTGCTGCCGGCCGCTCACTGACCTTCGAGCCCCTAATCGACAATAGGTGGGCCCTATTACTGATTAGGGCTTCTCATACCGTTCGCTCCTCTGATCTGTTACACAGAGTTGGCTGTTGTTGGCCGTCTGCACCCAAATCGTGTTATCGTTCATATCATGATCGATAACAAGACGCCAAACACGCCAACGGAGCAGAATGTACAATACAAAAGCGGGCAGATATATGGGCAATCGTCACACACCCGTCGTTTCTCACCTGACGGAGGACACTCACTGCTAGCCCGCCTCGCTCCGGCCGGCGCTGGCTCGAATCCAATCCATGACACCCGCAACTAGACATGTGAGCCACAGACACCCCTCCCCCGCCGGCTGGCCCATGGCCGCGCAGTCCCCCCCCCCCCCCGTCCGTCCGTCCCGCCCCGTCTCGGCTGGCCCATCGCTTTACAGCACTGAGAAAACAGTTTCTCCATATTCGGTCTCGGAGACCAGTTTTCGGGCTAATGTCCCCTATTCAAAACAGACGACACATTTTGAGAATACTCTCTGAGCAACGCCATTGATCGCAGAAACAGATTTAGGCAGTACTGCATTATCGATGTCAAGCCCTAAAATCATATCATATCCATATCCATATCAGATCCACATCATATCCATCATATTCATCATATCAGATCCATATCATATCCATCATATCTTATATGGATAGGTCATCATATCCATATCAGATCTTCCCCAGATCGTCGTAGGAGACCTGTGAACAGTCGATGGTGTAATACATCATCGCAGACCTTTCTCAGGTCATCATGATTCATGTGAGACCTTGTGGAGGTCGTCAGTCGTCATGTCATGCCTCAGTCCAGGTCAGCGGATCATATTGAACTCTGATCATGTGTCAGACTTGGTCTAGGGTGTTTTGTCACACTGAAACGAAGAACCGTTAGACTCCGAATGTCGGTCGTGATAGTCATAGGTATAACGATTTTACCCCAGGTCATCGTGTGGGATCGATGCCAGGCCATCTTATTGGACCTTTGCCCAGGTGATTGTATAATAATAGTGCTTTACCATAGTCATCATTGCAGATCTTTTCTTGGTCATCATATCAGACCTTAATGAAGGTCGTCATCAGACAATAGCCTTGGTCATTGACCGTAGTTACCTCAGATCCCGTAATGGAACTTGTCCAGGAATTGTAGCACAAGTCAACAAAGTCATCTAATCAGAACTATTCACAGGCACGGTGCGAGACCTTTGTGGTGATCGTAATATAAGACAATATCTCAGATCAGTGTGTCGGATCAACCAAGGTCAGAATATAATACCGCGTTCTGGATATTGTGTAATAGTTAGCCAAAGTCGTCGTCACAGACCTTTCCCATGCAATCTGGGCAGACCTTGTGAAAGTCGTGATAGAGGGCCTTAGCCCAGATCATCGTATCAGATCCATCCAAGATAATCGTCTTAGACCGTTCCAAGTCATCATCAGACCTTTGTAGAGTCGTGATATAAGACCTCAGCCAAGGTCACCGTACCATATCGCGTTGGGTAATACCTGACCCAAGGCATCGTCACAGACCTTCCCAAGTCATCGTGCCAAACCTTGTTGAGGCTGTCATCAGATTGTATTCCGTGTCATCTTACCATATTGACGCAATTTCCGTATCAGCTTTTGGCCAGCAGCGAGCACGGCCCCCACCCTCCCGTCCCCGACACCCTCGTTTGTCGACGTCCACGGGTCATCGGACCCGGCTAATGGGGCCATGGGCCCGCTCAGCGCCTGTTGACATATCCGCTTCGGTTGACTTCCCGACGCTCTGTTTCACGCAGCTAGACCCTCTCCCCATGGTGCCCACTCGCCCGGTCTAATTGCCGGTGCTCTGTTTCACGCAGCTGTGCCCCTCTCCCCCACACAGGCCGCCGCCTGCAGCGAATCACCGTTTCACGACGGGCTATCCGGCGAGTATAGGACCAAATTTGTACCCAATCTCTTTACAGCAAAATCTTTCTCATGAGGTTACTTCAGTGAGTTAATCGGTGATACTCTCTGACATATGACAAATGACAAAGCAGGCATAGCAACAATTATTGCAGCCCCAGCTGATAGCTTCTAAGATCCACACGGACACTAACTGACCAAATCTGCACCCAACCTGCACCAGATGTGCACCAAATGGACCATATGTCGGTCGTGAAAAAACGGCGAATATGACGCGGTGCCGTAGCCGCCCCGAGGATCATATGCGCGGTTAGCCCGGTACCTGGCGTATCTCATTAGCCGAGTCGG